TCTCTCTCTCTCTTTTCTTCTCTATCTTCTGTTGTCCCCTTCCTACTAGTAAACATCGTCTCTTCTCGTTGTCCTCTTACTGTAGAAAGTTAGGTTCTCTCTCTCTCTCTCTCTCTCTCTCTCTCTCTCTCTCTCTCAGATCTCCTTTACTTGCACAAAGGACATAGCACAAACCGCGACGAGCACAGTTAAAATGGTAAGTTCCAGTCTTATTTGGGGTTTGTTTTCTTTTTCCTCCCTTCTCTTTTCCCTATTTGTAGAAGATCTATTGCTTGGCATTTATAAACAAACTGAATGCGTTGAACTTTTCTTCAGTTTTAGCTTCTAGTATCTATTTCTTTAGGTATTGTCTTAGCTTCAATTGTCTTAATTTTCACCTCATTTTCTTTCTGATTTTGTATCAGGAATTCTTCTCTTTTTTTTCTTTTTCTTTTTTATTTATGGAGGCAAGTGTCCATCTTTACCTATTCTCTAAAGATGGGATAACTTTTGTGCCAAATAATCTTAATATAATGATTAATAACTTGTTTCTCCTATAATGTGAACATAAACCGTAGAAAAATTATAGCATGCTATAACTATAGATGTTAGTATTGGGCTTAGTTGACTTAAAAGATTTTGGGTTTAAGCTCAGTTTCTGCCATAATAATGGTTGTTGGGAGCTAACAGTATGGCATTATTTTGATCTTGCGAAAACCTTCATGGCACAATTTTGAATTTTAAAACCAAAATAAACCTGAAATCTCAGTTGACTGCTTCATCTTAGAATTTAATGTCAATATATATGGTGATTTAGATATAACAGGTTTAAATGAACAAAACAGGCAACTCTACTTCTTCTTCTTCTTCTTTTCCCTTTTTTTTTTTTCCTTTTTTGTGGGTTTTGGAGTGGTGGGGAGTGGGGGGGATGACATGAAATTTGGACATTTGAGGATGGTTTTATATATTGTATGAACACGGTTATTGGTGTGAGTGTCAACACAGGTAAGGGTATTCTCCAAGTAGATCAAAGAGACCAAATGCTTTTCACATTTCACTCCTCTCTCTCTCTC